GAAAGATAAGTAATGAAAGTGTAAGGCTCTAAACAGATGGCTGGACAGAAAATTAAGGTAATCACAGTTGTAAAAATAAAGAAAGAAAAAAAAAGTCAAAAGCAGGCTGATTCCAGATTGAAAAGTTAAAAATGCAGCAGCAATAGACATTGAAAGTGGTAGGCCTCTCAGGCCTATAGATATGTGGTGGATTACAATGCAGTGCAGAGATGGAGAAGTTTACTCTTATTTTGATAAAGGTGCACTGGATCATCCAGGATTATTTGTCATTTTTGGTAATGCTGTCTGCTTAAGATTGCAATCCACTTGTCACCATAAATATTTCCAAATGACTATTCAACATCTGGATTTGTACAGATTTGGCCATAAACAGTTAGGGCTCCCAAAAAACTGGAAATCAGTCATTTCAGTTATAACGTACTTCATAAAGCACCATTACATCTGAACTGATGAGATACAGTAATCATTTTTGTCTGTAGATGGTGCCTTTGCAGGTAAAATTCATAAGCGTGGCTTTTGGTCCCAGCCAAACAAAAAGGAATGAGGAACAACATACTATGCTGATAAAAGGTTGGGTCTTGATGAGAAAATAATTCCTATTCAGAGCGAAGATATGAAAAATGTTGTTAGCCTGATAAGTTTTGTATGAACCTGTCAGGGATTTAATTACAGGAAAGGGTAGTGTTTAGATCAAGGGTTAGATCTGAACTCCAGGCAGATATAAAAGACACACATTAGTGCAGCTCTAGATGCATTTATACTTTAATTACTAAATTAAACATTGAATGGATTTTTTAAATGCAACTAATTTAAGTAGTGAATTTGACTTGGCATTGGCCTCTTATTATGCTCTGTACGGCAGAACTCAGCTTGGGAGAGCAAGGGGCAGGCATGTTGCATGCAAAGGTGCTGAGAAAGAACAAGCTATGAGATTTCCAGCTTCTCCTTCACTGTTCAATCAGCAGGCTGGAGATGGAGAGATGACATTATTATACTCTTAAATATAATAGAAAAAGTGGTTATAAATATTATAAATTATTAATCAGCACAACTGGATACAAAGGCGAACCTTTGGCCAGTCAGCAGCCAGTTAATGAATTAATTAGTATATTTAGTGGTTTCCCTGGGGTTCAGCTTTAAGTGTTAACCTGGCCATACACCTATCCATTATTGCTAGATGTTTTTTCGTGCCGTCATGGAACCCTCGTTCGATTACTGCTCGCATACCCCATCATGCACAGACCAATGTCGTTTCGATAATCACTCATTAGCATTACTAACTCACCGAAATTAGATGATCAACAGAACGGATTTTCATTTGCGTATGTGCAGTGTTCATGTTGCAATTTTTTTTTGTACGAAAACGCCACTAATCCATACATTTTTGTTCAATTCGAAAAAAGTTTTCCAGCCTCACCGATCGAGAAAATTCAACCAGGAGTCAAGTAAAAAAATAAAACGTTGGCTTATAATTCGAAAGACCATTCATGGGGGATTTCCGTATGATAATCGATAGATGTATGGGCACCTTTAGAATAACTGTTAAGGTGATGATTAAGTATTAAAAGGTTAAGATAAAGGGTTATCATGAAGGGTAAGATACATTATTGGGGTGCAGATTAAGTAGTGATTGTAGAGAGATTAAGTTAAATCTGAATTCTGGGGGACAAAAATTATTTAACCTTGCAGTAGGTCCCCCTACCCACTGCAAGTGCTTGTTTTGCAGATGATTGATAAGGTAAAAGACTCTCCTCTGCTGTCCAATGTCATTGGTTGTGGGCAGGCCCTTAGCAACTTCACGTACAATGCAGGACTGCTGGTCCTGCATTGTATGGGATGGTATCACAGATCTGCAACCAGTGGCTTCAGGGAAACGGTCGCATGAATAGGAGAAAGCCTACAGAAGAGAGCAATATTCATCATCCTCTCTTAAAAAAATTGAGTAGTTTACTTGCAGTGAGGGGATAAGGGTTCAGCTTGGGGCAGAACTGAGTCTTAGGCAAGACTAACAGTTATGGAAAGACATAATGTCAGGGAGATATTTGAGCACAAATCAATGAGTGATCCATTTCCAGTTTAATATAGAAAGGTTTCTGTATAGAATAACAATAACTTTAATACATTTCACTTAAGCGTTATTAAATTAACTCTGGGAACACAGAGTTTTGTTAATAGCCAATAATATGATTAATGTCTTCGGTAACGTTCATCACTACAATGAATTATCTTAGGCAAGCTCATTCAGGTATGATGATTTATGTGCCCTATCATTTATATGTGCATTTTAAACAATCCTGGATAAAACTGTTCTGAACACACAACATGCATCAAACTACCTGTCATTTACTAATTGGATGCACTGAAGCCCAAAACAGATAATTAGTTGTCTCAGTTGTTTTAGAAGAAAGAAAAAATAATAGAAAAATCTTTAAAAAAAAAGAAAGTATAAAATCACATCTAACACCTAAGCCCAGTCAATTATAATAACCTATCAGGATTTTTCACATACTCCATAGTCTATCTCTAATCTGAACCTCTAGATGACAGCTTCTGAAATGTAATCCTTTGCCGAGTGTATCATCAGTGAATCTTTTTTTTTATGCTCATCCTTATGATGTTAACTAATTGGATTTAACCTAGATTGTGCAACGTGCTATCATTTATTTTCCTCTAACAGGCTCTAGTTTGCTTGAAAAACCGTTGTTTAATTAAGCTGGTGAGCAGGCAGTGGAGTGTATATACACCCACCTCTGTTTCTCCATGTGTATATATGGAACGCTTATGTGCTTTAATACTCTATCAGCCATGAGAAAGGGATCTTAAGAGAGCTGGGACCATCAGAAAAGAAACCAAAATGCAAACACTACAGGGTTTATATATAAAACTCCCACCCAGTATACAGCACCACTACAGTGCCTCTAGATGGCGATGAAGAGTATAGAAATTTCCTACACTCCTCAGCACCATCTAGGAGTGCACCGTATCCTATATACCTCATATTTCCTATACGCAGCACCTTCTAGGGGCGCACCATTTCCTATACTCCTTAGTACCATCTAGGGGAACACCATTTCCTCTACTGCTCAGCACCTTCTAAGGGCGCACCATTTCCTATAATCCTCAGCACCATCTAGGGGCGCACCATTTTGTTATACTCCTCAGCACCATCTAGGGGCGCATCATTTCCTATACTCCTCAGCACCATTCCCCATACTTATCAGCACCATCTACAGGCGCATCATTCCCTATACTCCTCAGCACATACATATGGTGCACCATACATACATATGGAAAATGTGCAACAAATTCCTCCATCTACGCTAAACTGTGTGGATGGAGGAAACTCCCACCGGGCCAAGCTTCAGTATCTTGCTAGTCCGACCCGCTGGCTATCAAAATACCTGAACAATGCTTGCATCCAATCAGATTGTTCAGGTATTTTGAGAACCAGCGGGGACGACTAGCGAGAAGCTGAAGCTCGGCCCACTCCTCCATTCACACAGTTTAGCATAGATGGAGGAATCTGTTGCACTTTTTCCATCTGACCATAGAAAATCTGCAGACAATCTATAGGTGTATGGCCAGTTTTGTAGACAAATCTGTTTAAGTTGAGGTCAGTCAAGCACAAGCAAAAGCTGGGTCAGCTGATTCAATCTTTACACAGATGCTCAAATGGAAAGGACCTATACACAGGAAAGACTTGTCTTACAATCCAAATGTATCTTATGCTATCATATGTTATGCCTATACTTTACGCTCATGCAATCATACAAAAACCCGACTGTGTATGAATATCAGACTAGGACTGACTGCAGTTTACCAAATAGGAAAATGATCAGGTGATTGCCATTTTTCTTTTCCAATTAGGCAGAGATAAAGTGATGCTGCACTCATTCCTCAATGGACAGCTTGTCATACATGTACTATACAGTTGATGCTCATATCAGATGACAAACCGATTATTTGAGGTTCTGAACATGCTTGAAGAGATGATCAGAAGCCACTGTATATGGGTATGTAGCACATCAAAAGCAAGATGCCAAGATTAAACAGCAAATAGCTGTTCCCCTAAAGAAGTCGTTTTTTTTTTTTTTTTTTAAATAGTCTTTTTTACAACATTTTAACAAAGAGGAAACATTCATGAAAATTCTCTGACACAAGTTTATGAAGCATAATAGAATAAAATAGAAAGAAGTAGTGATAATGACTATATACACATATAATAAAAGATAACCAATGGGAACCTACCATGAAATGAGCACAATATTGAAATTGACAATAAGGTTGAAACTTTAATTTGTTAATAGGAAATGATAATACTAAAACAAAAAAAGTAATCATGAGAATGGTGAGATTCTTGGTGGAAGCTACATTTTCTTTTTAATCCTAACCGAGTCTGCCAAAATGCTATTGTAGTTAGATAACGCAATAGAAGCATTACATGCAGCCCCCAATTCAACTTAAGCATCACACTTGGTTATCTTAATTTTGAACCCAAAACGGAAATCATAATTGACAGAATAAAGTAACCAGTAATGTACATAGGTAGCTTTAATAACATTAATATGCTATTGCTTGTAGTATCAACAACTCAAGGTACTAGAAAGCACAAAATCAAGAGAAGATTTGAGTTCACTTTGCCTCATTATTAACACCAACTTTGCCAAATTTACAATAAAAGAAAATAGAAAGCTGACAAATTATATTAACTCCTACAACGGTATTTAAAATTACAAGCCCATGCAGGATCTCTTAGGTATGATGCAATGCCAGTGTCAGTTCCATATGGTGCTTGAGTATGCAGTGTTCTTCACTTATTTGTACAATAGCCATCAGTTTATGTAAATCAACAAGGGCAATAAATGTTACCTGCAACATAGGATGCTAGGAGAGACCTGCGGAGACTTATTTGGAAACTGATTGGAGGATAGTGGGATGGATGGAGGGATAGATGGATAAATAAAGTTGAACATCTTTGAGAGATGGCACACATAACTTACTGTTATTTGGATTGTCTCCAATGATATGGTGTCTCCCACTCCAGTACCACAAAAGTAGTGTGGCATCACGGGATCCTGACACAATATAGCAATCGCCACCAATGTATGACTCAGACCTAGCCAAGCAAGTGACTACATCCCAGTGCCCGAACACGATCTGTGTGAGCTTCCCTAAGGAGAAACAGAAATAGCACACAATAAGTGTTATGCTGAGAGTGAAAGGTCAGGTAATACTGATTTTTCAAGCATTGTAGGGACTCTAGTAACCAGTAAAGTAAAGAAACAAAAGCACTACAGAATGAATATTGGTACTATGCCACATCAAGTGTAAGATACAAAGAAAAAAGGTCAATGAGGGTACCCAGTGAAAGCTTAGTTAGCTTGCTTTTGCTGTCTTTCTGCTGAAAAATACATCAAAGGGACTCCTTTTAAAAGTGAAATACCAGTCAAAATACTTGTTTTTTTTAATTGTGCAGATCTGGGAAAACAGACAGAATCTCCTGAGGAAGTGCTGCTGGAGCACTCTGGAAATGTGCTTATACTTTTAAGTATGAATGTTGCATTTTAATAAAATTGAGTTATATTACTTGCACTATTTTACACTTTTGCTCAGCAACATCGCCGAGTCTGACAGCAATACATGAAGAGATCTGGGAACACTTTTTCTGAATTGGATGGGACATCCTGAGGGGATTATTAACATATGCTTGATATGACCTGTCCATAATTTGGAGGTCATACTCTCTGGCAAGTGGCATTTTCACAGGTCTAGGGTCCAATGTGATGCAGAGTGACACAGAATACGGGTTGGAGGATTTTTTCACATCTATACACATTCCCTCATTTTGCGGGTGTTTTCGATGCTTCTGTTTATCGGCAATAATTTTGGAGCACATTTTATATGCAATTCACAATGATTTATATAGATGTCTTTTTTTTAAAACTGAGAATTGGATTTGATCACCGTTTTCTTTTTGCATATATCTACAAGTTAATTGCTATTTGCCCTGTTTGTTTATTATTGTAGTGTAGTAGTTATTTTTTTAGTTTATTATTGTTGTGTTTTGTATTGTAGTGTATATTTATACGTCAAGTGCTACCTTCACTGTTTTTAAACTTTGATTTGAGAATTACCTGTTTCTGTTGAATATACCCTGAAGCTTTTGTCCCAGAATCCACAGATAAGGATATAGCGATTATCAGCTGTGACCACAAAGCAGTGGGCATTGATCTGAATGCTTTGATCCACCAGGTCAGTGATCTGACGCTTGTTCACTCCAGAGTTGTTGGCTAAAGAACGTAAATCAAAACAAACATTTTACAAAATGTAATTATTACACCACCGTAGTAATGCTCAGTTAAGCTGCAGATTCTGCATTACTCCAAAAAGTAAAAGACACCGGCTGATAACTTGAATGTTTTGTGAAGCCAAAGATATCATGAGATCTGAAGGGATTCAACATTTTTCTTTAGATGCAGCATAATCAACTGCTCAATTTACATATAAAGTAATTATATTTTTCATTTGCTATTTATAGTAAAGACATCTATTTGGTTGGCCAAACCTGCATTTGTGGGAAGACAAGATACTGAATACATCATCATACCATAGTTTTCATAGGCCTACATTTTAATAGCAGTAATAGAAGCGAATACACATCTGAACAAATGTATATACATTAACAGCAAATCATAATGGTAACTAGGCACAATGATATGAAGCAATGAGACCGGCTTCCTGAATATCTAGATGTTGGTCGCTGTTCAGTGATTAAGCAACTACTTTAGGGTTCAGTTAAGACTACGTGCACATTCACACTATGTATTGCATTAATGCAACACATTATCATGCGTTAAGACCACCAATTCATTTTTATGGGCTGGCAGCACACATTAACACACTAAAAAAATGGACATAACCGCTATGTTTTTTAAAAATGCACACCACAACGCATGTGTGTTGCAGTGTGGACGCTTTGCACACTAATGTAACAGTGTATTGGGGTGCCGTTCAAAATGCAGTCTAGAGTAAACATGAACATTAGTAACTCACAGACAGATGTGTTTTCCTGCTGGTGGCATTGAATGTGGTTAGTGCACTGCACCATGCACTAGTGAAATTTGCATCATTATTTAATTTGTTTGGGTTAAGGGAATATGCCAGCTCTAACTTGATCCTGCCAAAGTCAATAGTTAGCTGCTGCTGCTAAAAAGCTCCAGCAATGCATCAGACATTTGCTTTTATTTTTAGTCTTGCATCATGACTTATCACTGTATCTTGTACCATAAACGTGAATGGAATAATATGATTGGCTTGTAAGGTCATGTTCACCTTTGTACTTTAACTAAAGAAAGCAGATTGGGATAACAGAACACAGTACATACCAATCAAAGAGTCCATCTCAATAGGGAGATGGTGAGCTTGGTCCAGTGAGTAACCGGGTGCTCCTCTCAGGCCTGCAAACAAAATGGATATAAATCAATTAGTGATATACAATGGATGTTTAGTAATCCATGAATGGGCACACAAGATCACTAACTTTTTTTAAACAAATCTAGATAAGACTACCTGACTGTACAGATCAGAACACAATAATGGGACAAGTGGCTGACATTTCTACAGTTATGGTCAAAGTAATACTGTGTATCTGAAATGCCTGTACACATCATACAATACTTTGTTAAACTGTGTATGACCAGAAAAAAAAAACAAAAAAAAACAGAAGAGAAAGGTAGCAGTGACTCATGAAGATCTGCTGTATTTATTTATTTATGATGATATATTACTAAAACTAATTTTTGCACCCAATACAATAATGCTGCTTTCCGTATTGGGCAGGTCCTTAGAAAACATTGGGGAGTCCTAAAAGAAGATCCATTCCTTAATGGATCACTCCCTAGGGCGCCCAATTTAATCTTTCGCAGACCCAATGACCTGCGCAGACAAATAGCCCCAAGCAAGATCAAGACCCAGAGGGGTTTATCTTCTGATCAGGGACTATTTGGCCAAACGGGGTGTTACAGGTGCAAAGCACCTAACTGTGGGGCCTGTGCCTACATTTGGCACAGAAAGAAAGTAGTTGAGGGACCCAAAGGGGGAGTTTATGATGGAGGCGCTCTGTTTTTCTTTGTATTTCCCAGATCAGAGGTCTTTTTGACTGGTGGGAGCTGCCCCATCTGTGTTTCCACTAAAAACGTCCTAATTGGCTATCCTCTCGTAACAGGCGGCGCCGGTATTTGCTTGGCTATTGTGCTCTATCTTTTATAGCATTGCATTGTATAGTTTATTTTCTACCATTAGCACATAGGAAGAGTGAGCATAACTGACAAGAGGTGTCTCGTAGCTGTATTCTAGTCCTGAGTGTTTGTCTCATGGGAGGGCTGAATGCCAGACACCCACTGTGTGATCAGAGACCATGGAGCTTACTCTAAAGAAACAGAACTCTGACCCAAAGGAAACACAATTCCCTAAGTATTAGTGCTAACAACAGAAGATAAGCTACCACAAAACGGCATTGTGTTAGTGCATGCTAAGTGAAAAACGTCAGACCACGAATATTTCAGGTGACTACACAGTCACAACTAGTGCAGAAAGTAATTACAAATTTATTTCAAAGCATGACTACTCAACGTTTTTACTAATGCAATGGAAACACAATACAATTTCCACTGATGTCATTTTTTGTATTCCTTTTCTTCTATTTCTAAAAGATTTCTCCTCTTGCTTGTAAACAGATTTCATTTTCACTAATGAGCGTGCATTAGGTTTAAAACCAAACTGCACACACGTTTCGCACTAAGTTTCTTTTGTGGTGGTGTGTTATGTCACCCATATCTCCCCTTTTTTCATTCTAAAACTGTGGCTTGTTCCTTGTTTGTATGTAATCCCTAACAAAGAACCTTGCCTGTTTACTCCATTTTGGTCTGTTAAGCGTACCATTTATTTATATATTATTAATATTACAGGTATTTATAAAGCACCAACAATTTGCGCAGCACTTTACATACTGCACATTCACATCAGTCCCTGCCCTCAAGGAGCTTACCATCTAAGGTCCCTATTGCACACAGGGCCAATTTAGACTGGAGCCAATTAACCTTCCAGCATGTCTTTGGAGTGTTGGAGGAAACCGGCGTACCAGAGGAAACCCACGCATGCAAACTCCATGCATATAGCTTCCTGACCAGGATATGAACCGAGGAACCCCAGTGTTACAAGACAGAAGTGCTAACCACTAAGCCACTGTACTGCCCATTGAAAGCAATTTTGTTATATTCGTCCGATTAGTGCAATAAAATACTTGTTAATCATGTCAGAAATTCAGAGCTGTCCTGCGTCCAGTGCAAACTCCTTCTGTTATCTCCAGTATAGTATTAGCCCTTCCTCTCTTTATCTTGGGGCTACAGAAAGATAAGCCTTTATGTTGTGAAGATGAGAGAGTAGGTTGATGTAAATAGTTTGGCAAAAAAGAAAATTGGCAGGGCTGACACCACTCCAAAACCAGTTCATGAATATGCTGTGTGTTGTCAGCCTGCTACAGGACCTAGGAACTAAGAGGGCTATTCACTCGAGGGTGCATGGTTTGGAAAAGGCATGAGAAGTGAACAATATAGGCCAAAAAAGATGATTTTGAAAAATTCGCCAAAATCCTGCACTTTCCAGTTCAGTCCTAGATTGTTCACTTCTCCTGCCTTCTCCAAACTCTTCACCCTTTAGTGAATAGCCATGTAAGTGCATTTCTGGCAGATCAACAGTTATGTCTCTGTACTTGAAGGGTTAAATACATGAGGACATGTGTATGTATTGCTGAGATGCTGAAACTGAACATTTGTTTTGCCCTGACACTTTAACCATCACTGAAAATCTGCCATATGACTGCATCTAATTGTCATATCTGAAGATTTCTAACAAGGCAAATGCAGAAAAAGGATATTTGAAGGAAATTCAAATAAAGTGACTTGATAGGGTTTCTGAATACATGATTAAATGTGGCATTCTATTCTAAGCTAACTAGCATACAACGAGGCAGATGAAGACATACCAACGGTGTTGTGCCATCTATTCACTGCAAACAGTCGGCTGCATGTGACTGTCACCACTGCAGGGATGGTGAGATGGGGGAGGGTGTTGGCTGCAACATGGGTGACTGGAGAGTTGGATGGAAATTTCAGCACCATAATGACATCCTGCTGCATCTGATCCTTAAACATGAGGGGGCTCTGTGGAAGGAAACACTGTTGTACAAGAGAAGGGAAGGAAGCAAAGAAAGACCACCATTAGGAAAATGCTGCAAAGGAAAGCGTCTTTAAAACATCTACTCATATTTTTTCCAAGTAGAAGGATCTATTTTGTGACATAACAGGAAAAAACAATAAATTACAGAATAACTGAAAATTGGCCCCAACCCCACTCAGACTGACAAATCCGACATGTCTGTTACCCAAATGTAATTATTTCATTTCCTCTAATTCCATACAGCGGACATTTTATGCATGTACAGAGTACACAAATCATTCAGTCCATGCCCCAAAGAAGCTTTAATTTTAGTAGCCGGAAGATTGCTTTAAAAACATTTTACTGGTCAATAGTGAAATAACCTAGCACTATTTTGGGAGGAAACAAGCACCTACAGGAAACGTATGTAGAAATAGAGAATGTAGTGTCCAGGTAAGGATATATATCCTGTAAGAGGTGGATACATAAGAAGCCGCATGGGTTTGTCTCGGTGCCTGCTCATGCAGCCAGGAATATGCGATGCCTCTAAGTGGATGGCCCCCTATATTTAAACTTCCTACCTAAGATGTAAATATGCTTATCGAATGATATTGTTTTGTACACTTTTGATAAGGTGGAATAATGCTTTGTATGTTTCTATACAGTTTCAGCTCTGACTCAATTTGCTCCTGAAGAAGCGGTATTGTCTGTGAATTGCGTTGAGCAAACCCCCTCCATACACCCCGAAATAAGTGATATTATTGATAAAACAAACGTTATGGATAGTTATTATATCGAATATTTTAGAAATAAGATATAGGGGTGTATTGAAGTGCAAAATGAGAGGCTAAGGGGCAACCTCTAGGAGCTGATTGTTTTAAAGAGGATTTTATGCTTTTTAATTGATTTTGAACAAATAACTCGTTATATTTTAATGAAGCCGAATGTGTGGGTGCCTTAAAAGTCCATTATTGTGCATTCCATATAGTGTCCAGGTAAGAACTGAATGCAGGACCCCGGCACAGCAAGGCTAGAGGGCTAACCCGTAATTCATTTTAAAATGTTTAAAAATATTAATCTGCACACCCCTACATACATGCTTCTATATCCCTAATGGCATGTATAATGTACATGCAATGCACTGGAAAGCACATTTCCTGGTTTAAATGTAATATTTGCACTAGAAAATTGATGACTGGAATATGATTGGTTACCAGGAGAAATACCTCCATGCTTTTTATTTAATTCTTCAAACTGTCCAAGCCTCGTTATTTTCTGCATGTTATAAAAATCAATAATATTTGTACATAAAACTAGAGATATTAAAAAGGTTATATTTTTTGTTGTGAAATCTTATAATACTCTTTTTAGAACTATATGTAAATAATGGCAAAATGTTAGTGTGTGTATCTGGCTCTCTCTATACCTATCTGTGTGTGTGCTGTGTGTGTGTGTGTGTGTGTGTGTGTCTGTGTGTGTGCATGCATATGCACCCACTGACACACAAACATTTAATTTTGCCGACAGATCAGATTTTTGTGCTGAGAAAGAAGCGAATTTCCCAACAAGCCGTTATATCTCACCAGGTGCATGGCTGAGCTTCGAGGCGGATGTGGCTCGATAAGCAACTGAGATGGCGTCTGTCCAAAATTCTGTATCTGTGCCTCCATGGCCTGCAGGGAGAGAGGAGTGATTGTCATAATCAATATGCATCAAAGAGATAGGTCAACACACTCCTTGACAATGCAAGCACATCCCAAGTCAGCCATGAAAGAAGTCCAGAAAATTCACCGGTGCTCTTCTCTCGGGCTGCAGACTCAGCCAAGTGTTAGTATTGTTGTAGACAAGCTTTGCTTTCTCTCAAGCATGCTTCACTTAACCAAATAACCATTTTACCAGAGGATATGGGTTATCTGTGAATGTTAACCTGTGGTGACATGCAGCTAAAGACCTCAGAAATCTCTCCAAACTTTCACAAAACACACATGTAGAGGTTAATTATAATAATGTGTCCACACCATTATCTTGTGTAAAGATACCTTGACAAACTCTCCAGTAAGAAGGAAAGTTAAGGGGTTTCTTATAAAATATGCTTCAGGAATCTTAAAGAATAAAAAAAAGAGTAACAGTTGAGTTAAATCACACAATAGATTGGAGTATAGCAAATGTTTTATACAATGCCACAGTAAGACACTTAGCATTACAAGCAGGAGAGCAATCTATATCGAAGGGTCAATTTACATCCATGATTTTAGGTGTTAAAGTGGACCTTGCTCTCCAAGGTCCGCTTTTTAAACATGGTCCTCCTCCACCTTGCTGAAACACTGAACACTTGGAAAATATACTCACCCTTTCCCCTGCTTCCGTAGTGCTGACAGTGATATCATCATCCTGTCGATGAGATCTTGGAGAATGCAGAGTTCTCAAATCCTGTGAGAAGACGCTGCAGCACAGTGCTGGGTGTGTGTTCTCAGTGAGATTTACGCTATTCTACATTATCCAGATCTCGCCAGAAGGACGATGACAGCATTTAAAAAGTTGACCTTGCTTTTTAGTCCGCTGTAATATTAGTAACACCACAATACTGCAGTTCACATACACAAAGGGGTCTATTTATAAAACCTTTGCAGAGCACACATCCCTGCAATTGAGATTTGCAGCTCATTTTAGTCACTATATAGAGCTGAGAAGCATAGGAATGCCCCTCAGCCTTAAATAGAGGTTATAATGCGTAGTGAATCTCATTTGCAGAGTGAATGTCTCTGCGATCGAGATTCGTAGCCCATTATGGCCACAAGATGGAGCCAAGGAGAAAACAAGTTTTTTTTAAATAGACCTCTTAAAGTGTACCTATGGCCAAAACAAGCACTCCAGTGAAGGGTATCTATGTGTACAAAAGCAATATAGCTCACCAATCATCCTATTTTCATTTAATTATTCCATTGCAATCTACAGTCATCAGTCCTGATCCCTCCCATTCTACTATAGACATGTACTTGATTGATCAGCTTCCTCACAATGGCACCAGCAGCTGTTCCTGCAAACAGTGACATTGCCGTGCTTTCCACTCCCCCTGACTCTCTGAATCATCGTTCCCTTGTGAGGTCTCCAGGAGAGGAGAAACTAGTAACTCTGGGGGGACTCCCAAGTGCACTTGACGCTGCAAAAGGTATAACACTTAAATAAATAAACTGAAATGGAATTGCCTGGTATAAATAGTATTAGCAATTGCTATACTGATTTTGCACTTGATTGGCACTTAACAAAACCAAGCTAATATAGGCAAATGGATATATTGTACGTCACACTGCTGTATATAACATAAAAATCTTTATCTAGCCATACAAGAACAGCATGTGGTCTTTGTTTCCTAATGATCAAACTTTTCAAGAGTTCTCCTGCCATACAGCACTATTGTTCAATGCAGGTCAGGCTATTTCCCCACTACTTTCAAAAGGGGATTATAGCGCATTATTAATTAGTTCGATTTTCTCCATGTATAAGTATCGTATGTTAAAATGTGCACATTAAAACCCATTCCTGCTTATTGTGGTTTGCCTTTTGCAAAATATTACTCATATACATTTTGAATATAAAATTTGACGATGTTAATATATACGTAATAAAATGTCTGACATATTAAAAGCCAAACATTTACGTGCAACTTTACAGCCACAAACTAACCTTCAGAAGATGGCACTGTGTTTATGCTTATTCAAAACTGACATATTACAAAATGTAAATTAATTAATAGGCTTTTATATATAAGTGCCAGACAACAACAAAATCCTTCAAACTAACAAGGCCATTTTCAGTCCCCAGAGGATGGATGTACAGAACATTCTTGGTGCAAAATATTGTCTGCTACAGTCTGTCACTGTATTGGCAGTGATAAACAAGAAGTGTTAAAATAGTGAGAGCACAATTAAAGACCTCACCATGTGTTCAAGGGAAGAGCTCCCAACCCTTCAATTATTACTAATAACATCATATGTCCTCTTATGCCATGATACGGATGCTTGCGAAACAAAGCAATCCAAATTCCAGTCTCAGATACATATTTTCCCACAAGGGAATTACTAAATATATCATACTGAAATTAAACATATAAGATGAATGGACATATATAAGTACTGTTTTTTAATCTATTACCACGTTTGTTAGACAATGTGATGCTATGCCACAGCGACATTATGAGGACTAGCACACCTCAGGGGCATAGCTAGCTGGATTCTGGGAAAAAGAAAGATCTTCTTTAGTCCCAGAAACAAAGTTTCACAAAATGGAGAGCTATGAAAACAGTAAAGGTATCTAGAGACAAATGATCAGGATGAGTATGACTTGATTTGGACAAGTGTAGCTGGACTGGCAATTATCACATGTCTGTGACTTCCATGTGACTGTGGCAGACACCACTGGTCAGCTGATCATTAGGAGAAAACACTGACTGGCCAAGTAAAAGAAAAAACAAACAAAAAATCCAAGAAAGGTTTTCTGCTAGCTATGTGTATTGTAATGCCTTTTTGGATTCTATTTATCCAACTTACTATGGCAGAAATAGCTGCAAATAAAAAAACAAAAGAAAACACAAAACACCACATTATAAAGCACCATAATGTGCTTTACAAATATGTGTAGCACTTTCATATTAATGTAAGAAAAAAAAAGGGGGAGGCAAGAGGAGAGCAATACATGATCTGTCAAAGTCATGTGACCAGCGCCTCCAATCACGGAGTGCTCTCTGCAGTGTAAGCTTCATGCAGGCTCTCAGATTTTATGATTTACTCATAAAACAAAGGCATAGTATGGAATCTAGGGCTCTATAAATACACCACAGTAATGTGATCATAGCCATACTTAAGTGTAATCCTCCCATTGAAGATCCTTGCCTTACCAATCACCTGGAGAGTGATCAGCTTGAGAGGAACTGTTACAAAGCACAGCATGTCCCAAGGAGTCCTATGCTGCCAATTGTTTTTCGTTTTTTAGCCCAAAATGAATGTGGAGCAGTGTTACATCATAAAAGACAATTGCATAATAATAAGTATAATACATCCTCTGATACATCAGTCATCTTTCATTCCTAAGCCTTTGGCTGCAGCTCTTTTGAAAACACCATTATTTTGGTTTACAATTCTAACGTTTGTGTCTTACTTCTACCAACCTATAGTTGTTATAAAATCTATAAAGTTCTTCTTTAATGGTATTTCCATAACATCTTCCCATAACAACATTTAAAGACATTCTATAACATTTAGACGTTATTTATTATTGTCCCACTGGGGAGATTTTTCCTCACTTCCTGTCAGAGGTGGCACCAGTCAATGGGTCAAACAGACAGCAATAAAAACCTGGGAGCAGGCAGCAATAAACCCCTTACTAAACGCTACTCAAACTAAAAAAAGGTTTTAGGTAGAACTTAACATTAAATAAAACAGGTGCTGGTAGATGGGACTATGTGAATTTTTTAAGGCATTTAAAACTATAAATTGGGTTTAAAGATTGCCTCCAAATCTGGCATTGCAGTGCAATGGAGTAAACTTGCTAACCAGAACCCAGCACTGGTTTTGGTTTAGCAGGGGTAAATATTTCCATTTGGTCTCTTGCTATACATGATATCATTAAGACCCCACATGGCAACAGGCAAAACCTGACCATGTTTGTACAGTAGATAATGCAAGGGCCTGTACAAGCATAGTAGAACAAAACTGATAACCACACAGCTTATAGAATTTACTATTCTCCTTCCTCAATATAACATGGTATTAAAGTGAATGTAACTGTTATCTGACTGACATTTTGTATTTAAAGCATTGAGTATCAAACAATTGCCAAGTTTGTTTGTTTTTTTTAAACAAAATGCTCTTTTTGCTTTTTCATAATTTGCTTCATACATCTGCACATCTCTCTCTTGCAGCCACTTTGTAACCACTTCCGGTCTACTTGAAATTACTCCAGCATTGGCTGCATGCCATTCCACAGGGCAGGTTTTCTGATGTTGATGACAGTGGACCATGCCAGTGCAATTTGTGTCAGCTTGGTCACTTACAGTCTCCACTAGGACAGCGTGTGATGGGGTGACAATGCAGGGCACAGTTTGGAGACGGAATAGAGCGCTGTCACCCTATAATAGGAAGTGTCTGCGAAAGCACCTTCATAGCACGGTCCCCTGGTATTTGTTTTGTGTGAAATCTGCAGATTTAAAACTATTGAAAAGAACTTTTGAAATGACATCAATACAAAGCATAGATGAGATTTTAATGACTGGGTTTATATATTAAATCTTTAAAACAAAGTAAATTCCTGAAAACTTCAAGACTGTCCAATGTAAACTCAATACAGGTCTAACACCTACACAAGATTGCCAGTTGGAAAAGTGAACTCTAATATTTTGTAAAGCAGTTATACAAGACACGAGTTTACTGAAATGATCAGTGCAGCATAATGGGCTGGAACTGCATTCTTAACAAATACTCAATAGATGAGCCCAGAGGAAATGTGACAGGATTATGATGTCCCCTTTGTGGTAAAGACAATTCCAAATAATATCTAATACTCCACATAATTGATGTTTACATATTAGAAAGAGATACAGGCTTTGTATCCAGAGTGTTCTGTCATGTTTCACCACAGGAGCAGACAGTCATTGTAAAGTTCATTATAAATTACAGCT